GGACTGGAGAAGAAGTCTGCATAGAATGGGTTGACTATGGTGGTTGCACAGTGTAAAGAGAATACTGTGGGGCTGGCAGTAAATAAACAGGCTGTGCTGGAGCCTGGATTGGGTAAGTTAGCTGTGATGGGTAAGAAGCTTGTTCCTGGGGACAACGGCAGCTGCCCAGGAGCCTTCAGTGGGAAGGATGGCAGTTCTGCAGGTGGTCCCGGATAAGCATGTTCAACAGAATAAGATGGCTATTCCAGGGACTGAATCACACTTTCAGTACCACCCTTTGGCTGCTGCTCACTTGCATGAGCTTCAGACACTCGTAGAATACAATCCTGCTGAAACTTTTTGTAGTGATGCCATAATCTTAAGGTTGTAAAATTAATGGCTGCTGCTACATAGAGGCTTGGGAACAAGGTTTCTTCAAATGCACAGTCTGGCTTTGTGGCACTAAAGAACCTAGAGCTATAGATTCCTGATGTAGTACTGGATATGGGTGGGGTACTGAATGTATCTTTTGTGAAGGCTGATTGGCCCCCGAATGCCCCCCAGTGGAATTAGAAGGGAACTGAGCTGTACCAGCAACATTCTGTGCACTGATCAGGTATTGGGCAGAATGACTTGACAAAGCTTGAGGACAATAAACCAGTAAGAAACCAGAAGTCTGATTAGCATCTGGTGATACAGTCAACGCCTGCTTTCCATTTCTAGGGCCAGGCTCAAGTTGAAGACCAACTGTTAGATGCTCGGAAGTCATCTGTGAAGCAGGCAATGTCTGAGGAGAAACTGCAGAAAGACTGATTGTGGAACTCCAATAACTGGCAAGTCTAAAATCATAGATTAGGCTGAAGTTTGTCCATCTACTCCAAGGTCAGCTGCAGTTCCTGGTTCTTGGTGCAAAGAAAATTCAAATTATAAATGCATATACCATGCCAATTTTAATGGGCCTGTCCCAGACAGAATGACAGATAAAATAATGCTATGTTCTAAAAATTTGAGCAAGTTATTAAAAAGGTGCTGGGTATAGTTTTAGTACTACAAAAATCCTTAATACCATGAGTAAATGCTAGTTGAATACATTAAGGGACTGAGACCAGTCCCAGTAATATACTGCTCATGGCTTCTCATTTATTTCACTTGCCACATAACTCATTCAAACCCTGGCAGAGATTCAGAGTAACCGAATCTAACACTTTCACACACCAGAAACTGGAAGTTCCAAGAAAAAGCTCAAAAGAATTTCAATATCATAGCTAAAATGAACACAGAAGCTCTCTAAAGAGGAGAGCAGAGAGTTGGCTGAATAAATATAGGTTGGTTGCAGTAATTCCTAGAACTTGAACTACCACATTCATAAGAAGACACCAATGGTCAAAGTGCTTGCTTATGTGGCTTCTATATGTGCTGAAAAAGTCTAAAAAACAGCACGTGAGGGGCGCCTGGGTGGCTCAGTTGGTTAAGCAACTGCCTTCAGGTCATGATCCTGGAGTCCCAGGATCAAGTCCCACATCGGGCTCCCTGCTCAGCAGGGAGTCTGCTTCTCCTTCTGACCCTCCCCTCTCTCATGCTCTCTCTATCTCATTCTCTCTCTCAAATAAACAAATAAAATCTTTAAAAAGAACAGCATGTGATATACAGATGTATATATAAACAAAATTATGTATGTATACATAGGGGGAAAAAAGACAAATCTAGTGGCTTTACCCATAAATGTAAACAATAAGATGTTTCTAGCTGGAGAAATAACAGGTGATTTTCACTGTCTATTTTATAATTTCATAGGCTTTATTTTTAAATAGGTAAATAACACTCATAATAATTTTTAAAACTTAAAATTTGAAAACACATTTTAAAATACACATATCTGCATACTTATGTGGTTGAACCTAAGTTAATTTAAGTGTCCATTCAATACACTTTGCATTAAAATCTTAGGAAGAAACAAATCAAACCACAAGAGCTCAATTATGAATATGTATCATGTTACCTATAAACAACAGCCAAATACCAGGCTACTGTCAACTCCATCAGATTAAATTACCCCAGCAGATTTTGAATGTATCTGACATTTGTCAAGTTATGTGTATGCCTTCCCCTATAAGACTGTGAACTCCTTGAAGATAAGAACCATATTTTATTTTATCTTACATCCACAGAAATGGTAGTCATTAAAAATTATTGATGAGCTGTGACTTACTATATACCAATCTCTTAAAAGAAACAGATGTGCCAGCTGCTAACTGAATCATATACAGAGAATGTTCAGACCATCTCATTCCCAAAGAAATAAGGCACATGCAGGGGAGGATGAGGTTGAGAAAAGAAAATGCAGTGATGGCAAAGAAAAGCTGAACCATGTGTCCAGGCCTCATAACCTTGGGAACCAGAATATAGTCTTAATATATGAACTCTCATAAAGACTGTTTACTCCTTCCTTGTCAGAAATGAATAATGCTGACCTTTAGAGTCAAAAAGACAAAAACATTTATTTCTCCTATAGAAATGAACACGAATCAAAAAAAGCCAAGATCCAATAGAATCAGTATCCAAAAAAAAAAAAGAATTTCTATAATTCAACACCAAAACATACAAATAATCCTATTTAAAAATGGGCAGGGGCGCCTGGGTGGCTCAGATGGTTAAGCGTCTGCCTTCAGCTCAGGTCATGATCCCAGGGTCCTGGGATCGAGTCCCGCATCGGGCTTCCTGCTCCTTGGGAGCCTGCTTCTCCCTCTGCCTCTCTCTCTCTCTCTCTCTCTCTCTCTCTGTCTCTCATGAATAAATAAATAAAATCTTTAAAAAAAAAAATGGGCAGAAGACATGAACAGATATTTCTCCAAAGAAGACATCCAGATGGCCAACAGACACATGAAAAGATGATCAACATCACTCATCATTAGGGAAATGCAAATCAAAACCACAATGAGCTATCACCTCACACCTGTCAGAATGGCTAAAACCCAAACCACAAGAAACAAGTATTGGTGAGCACATGGAGAAAAAGGAACCCGCTTGGGAATCCCCCGGTGGGGATGCAAACTGGTGCAGCCACTTCCATTACTGGGTACTCCCCCCAAAGAATACAAAAACACTAATTCAAAAAGATAGATGCACCCTGATGTTTATAGCAACACTAATTACAACAGCCAAATTATGGAAGTAACCCAAATGTCCACTGATAGACGAATGGATAAAGATGTGGGGTGTGGGAGTGTGCATGTGTATGTGCGTGCATGCGTGTCTGTATATATATGTGTGTGTGTATATATATAGTTTATATATATATATAGTATTGTGTATACATATATAATGGAATATTATTTAGCCATAAAAAAAGAATGAAATCTTGCCATTTGGAACAACATGGAGGGATCTAGAGGGTATAATACTAGGTGAAATAAGTCAGTCAAAGAAAGACATATACCATATGATTTCACTCATATGTGGAATTTAAGAAACAAAACAAAGAAAAAAAGAGACAAAACAAAAAAACAGACTCTTAACTATAGAGAACAAACCAATGGTTACCAGAAGGGGGGGGATGGGTGAAACAGTTGATTGGGATTAAGAGTATACTTACCTTGATGAACACTGAGTAATGTATAGTATTGTTGAATCACTACACCTTCACTACACCTGAAACCTATTAGAATGCTATATGTTAACTACACAGGAATTTAAATTTTTCAAAAAGCCAAGAATTTTTTTAAAAAGCCAAAAGGTTTTTTATTAATCTTTTTTTTATGTTCAGTCAGCCAGTGTATAGTACCTCATTAGTTTTTGATGTTGTGTTCAAGGATTCATTAGTTGTGTATAACACCCAGTTCTCATCACAACAACACGTGCCCTCCTCAATACCCATCACCAAGCTACCCCATCCCCCCACACCCCCTCCCCTCCAGCAACCCTGTTTATTTCCCGGAGTCCATAGTCTCTCATGGTTCCTCTCCTTCTCTGATTTCTCCCCCTTCAGTTTTCCCTCCCTTCCCCTATGGTCCTCTGTGCCAATCCTTATGTTCCACATATGAGTGAAACCATATGATAATTGTCTCTTTCTGCTTGACTTATTCCACTTAGTATGATCCCTTCAAGTTCTATGCATGTCAATGCAAATGGTGGTTATTCATCCTTTCTGATGGCTGAGTAATATTCCATTGTACGTATGGACCACATCTTCTTTATCCATTCATCTGTTGAAGGGCATCTCGGCTCCTTCCACAGTTTGGCTATTGTGGACATTGCTGCTATGAACATTGGGGTGCAGGTGGCCCTTCTTTTCCCTACATCTGTATCTTTGGGGTAAATACCTAGTAGTACAATTGCTGAGTCATAGGGTAGCTCTATTTTTAACATCTTAAGGAACCTCCATAAATTTAGATGAAAGTGCTAAAAACTAAATAAAATATTATTTTATTTTATCATTTCTAATTAACTATGAAAGAAATCCCTCCAGGGGTGCCTGGGTGGCTCAGTCACTTAAGCGTCTGCCTTCAGCTCAGGTCATGATCCCAGGGTCCTGGGATTGAGACCCACATCGGGCTCCCTGCTCATGGGGAAGTCTGCTTCTCCCTCTCCCTCTGCCCTGCCTGCCCCCCGCCAAGCTCGTGTGCACTCTCTCTCTCTCTCTCTCAAATAAATAAATAAAATCTGGGAAAAAAAAAGAAAGAAATCCCTCCACATTCACACTGGGCTAGAAAAATCTAATACAAAGAACAAATCATCATCACCAAGAGCAAGAGATCTGAGTCCTAAATAAGTTTGTTTTTCCATCTATGGAGTTCTCACTTTCTTTTCCAATTATACAAGCAGTGTCTCAAGATTCTAGTTTCACAATGTTAGGCACATACTCAAGAACATCTTTGGTGAAGGAAAGCATAAACAACTTTTGGCTTTCAGTGTGTTTTATACAAACTATAACGAAATTATGAAAGAGAGCCTTTGCCTGTCAGAAAATCTAGGCAGTGTTCAATATGTTTAACTGAATACAGAGTCTCTAAAATATATCTTACCTTTATCTGTGAGACTTTCTGGACAGTTAATGGGGAAACTTGGGGTTGTGAGACAATCGGAGGTCCAAGGACATGTACAGGCAAAACAGTGGACTGACCTTGAACCAAAGGCAAAATGTGGGGCTGAGTCAGCTTTGGCTGCTGTTGCAACTGTTAAATAAGAAAAAAAAATACATTAAAGATAAACTCTCCCATTTACAGTAAATATATATGGATTATATATTTAAAATTATAACAGTTCACCTCACCCCTGAAATCTGCTGGTAATGTCCTACCAGCTGCTGGGATGGATAAATCATCCCTGGAACATTTATTTCAGTCTGTGGGATGTTGGAAACCACTTGAGAGCCCATCATCTGGTCTGAGGAATAGGCCATACTGGGCTGACTTGAAGTATCTGAGTGTATAGCAGATCCAACTCCTGCCTCGGACAAATTGTCACCTACGACAAAGAAAATAAGCAACAGGAAGAAGGAAAAACTTGAAACACAAGGTCCAAATGGCATAGAAAATAAGTGTTTTCTATGTTTTTTTTTTACTCTGACAACCTGAGACAACTTGAAATAAAACATGTACATTACACAGTTAACCAAAAAACATTATGTAAACTCTCCATGCTAAAACTGTGGTACAACTAAAATTTTCTTAGTAAAGCAAACCTAAAAACAAAGAATCACATAAAAATCAACTCCTTTTGCTGGTCATTATCATTTATACTGAAAAATACTCATAAGTCACAGGAACTGGCAATACCAGTTACTTCCAGAACTGGGTAAAGTCAAAAGAGATGACTAAAATAAGGAAGACTAAGTGAAAGGATTGTGAGAAGCAGTTAAATATTTAGATCCCTGTGCCCACCCTCCATTCCACACATTTGGGTGATTGCTTCTCCCCTAACCAACTAATCTCATTTACTAATTTCAGTAAAATCCAAGTGTCATATTCTCATTCTCCTAGAACCTGGCTAGAAAATAATACTGTCTTTATAGAACAATTAGTTATTACTATGAAAATACTCTGTCCTTCTAGAGAAGAGAATGCATTACAGCAGAAAAATTAGAGGAACTATGATAATTTTATACCTGAGTCTAAAATACAAAGGATCTTAAAATCTATAAAATTCCTTCTTGAAGAATACATTTTCCCTTTAATTCCAAATTTTCTTTATTAAAGGATTTACATTAGACCTTTAAGAATAGTAAAAAGATTATAATCCTTATTCAATTAGCACCTTGGACAGGTCACATAACAAAACAGTGTCTTAATTTTAAAATAAGGAAACTAGCCGGCTTGTCTATTTCAGGGATTTTGTAAAAGGACTGATGAAATGATAGATAACAGAATGCTTTGAAAAACACAAAAGTAGGGGCGCCTGGGTGGTTCAGTCATTAAGCGTCTGCCTTCGGCTCAGGTCATGATCCCGGGGTCCTGGGATTGAGCCCCGCATCCGCTTCCTGCTCAGCGGGAAGCCTGCTTCTCCCTCTCCCACTCCCCCTGCTTGTGTTCCCTTTCTCGCTGTGTCTCTCTCTGTCAAATAAATAAATAAAATCTTAAAAAAAAGAAAAACACAGAAGTACTATTTTGAGATAAGAGAATACAATTACACATTTGTTTGCTTTTATAAATTTTAACTGTTACCTGTAACAGAGGAGCAGTGCTGCTGTGGTTTTCTTTGTAGAAGCTGTTGTCGAACATGTTGATCAACTTCAGTTTCTTCACATTCAGCCCCAGTGTGCTGAGCAGGAGCAGGGGGCAAAGCTGTATTCTGGGGCTGAGGGAGTACATTCCCTGCAGACTTGCACTGGGATTCCCTGCGTTCTTCCAAACAGCCAGCTGGCTTCTTCTCCCTTGTCTTCTTTATCAGGGTGACCCGGTCTCTAATGGACTTAGCAACAGCTTTGGAATCACTTTCATGGAAGAATCCTGACTTGACCTACAAACAAAACATAAGCAAACTACATCTTTAACATTTACAATTTTAACTTTTTACTAGCAGAGTTATTTTGTGCCCCCAAATTCCAAATGCTATTAAATAACAGTTAATTTATTTACATGTTCCTTCTTTTTTTTCAATTCAATATAACTGACAGTTTCAGGTGTACATCATAGTGATTCAATATTTTGGATGTACATCTATGTTCTTTCTTAATCAGACATACATAAATCCAGAACCTTTAATCAGCATAAGAAAAACAATACCATTACCAAACATTGTTAAAATAATTCTGGCTTTAAACAAAAACAAATAACTTGATGTTTCAGTACATGCAGTCTTATTACAGAATATTTGTGACTGTCATTAAGGTTTGTGAACGATTAAAAAGGTTTCCTTATTCAACAACATTAAGTGTCTACAATGTGCCCAGTACTGGACTCCAGAGACATATAAGTTACTATGTCGGTCCTTTGTCCTGTATGAGCACACAATCTGGTGGTAAGATGGTACAAATTTAACTTAAAAAAGGTAGAAATGAGCTGCTGCAAAAGCCCTAAAGGAAAAAGTAGAGACAGCGTCACAGAGAAAGGTAAACTCTGACTTGAATTAAAACAAAAAAAGGAACTTGCTGGCTATTAAGGGAGGTGTGGATGAAGTTTAGAGATCCACACTCTAGGCAAAGGGAAATATGCTCACAGCAAAGTACTACATCTTACCAGGCATTAGAAGAGTGAGAGAAGAGAAGTTAAGGGCTTGCTGTCTGAGAAGAGCAGGGCTGAGTAGCAGAGAAGATGACTTGAGGAGGTGTCATGGCATATCATTCTCAGTCCTACAATCTGTTTTTTAAAGCATGTCTTGGGGGTCTGCAGACTCAGGGAAATTTCGTGGTAGTTGAAAGATGATTAAAATGTTAGATGGAATCCATATATTTAATTTCATTCCCTCCCGAAGCTCCAAAAAAACCCCATACTATATGGATTTTTAAGTTGTAAACCCAGAAGGACAGGGAGAATAAGAGAAAGACAACAGCAACAACATTTTGGACACTCCGGAATATGGAACACAGATTAAGTAATAAGTGACCTAGCAGTCCTGAAAAAGGTGAACTAGGGAAAGCTGAGAAGCATTATCACTTATACCGAAAAATACTCATAAGGCACAGAAACTGGCAATACCAGTTACTTCCAGAACTAGGTAAAGTCAAAAGAGATGACTAAAATAAGGAAGACTAAGTGAAAGGGTTGTGAGAAGCAATTAAATGTTTAGATCCCTGTGCCCCACCCTCCATTCCACACCTTTGGATGATCGATTCTCCCCCTACCCAAGAAGCCTGGAGTTTTGTTCTCTGGAGAGAGTAAAAGAGAGGATCTCTGGACTATGAAACACCAGGCACAGTTGAGGGTAAGGCTACCGTGTGGAAAACAAGATTAAATGAGCATATGTATGCTGAATGCCATATGCAGAAACCTTTAGCCCTTTTCCCCACTTGACTACCAAAATACCAGTAACCAGACCCTAACCCTTCAGGAAGGACATCGAAAGATGATTCTCTGGGGAATCTGACCAATCCAAGAAGACAGACCTACACATATTGATGCCAGAGATTCCCTAATTAAAGATACCATCCAGATACCCTACGGTACTGGTCAAAGTTAACAAGTCTGACACAAGCAAACACATCATCCAATAGGCTGTAAGTCCCTGTGGTCGGGAAAATTATGGCCCCTCAAAGATGTCCCATCCTAATCCTCAAACTTGTGAATATAATGAGATATCACTCCCATTATTTTGCTATGAACAGCTGACCTTAAAATAGGGAGATTATCTGGGTGAGCCTTTTACCAGCTGGTAATTCTAGGATTCAACATGACATTGCTGACTTTGAAGATGGAGTGGGGATACATGAAAGGACTGAAAAGCAGCCTCTAGGAATAGAAAGTGACCACCAGCTAATAGCCACCTCAGTCTTACAACCATAAGGAACTGAATTCTGCCAACAACTCGAAAGCAGTCCCCACCCCCCCCACTCCCCTCACCCTCCCCACAAGAGCCTCCACATAAGAACCCAGGCCACCAACACCTTGATTGCAGCCTGTGAGATCCTAAGCAGAGAATCCAGTGAAGCCCACCAGGACTTTTTATCTCCAGAATTGAGATAATAAATGGGTGTTGCTTTAAGCCACTAAATTTGTGGTAATTTATTACACAGCAACAGGAAAAAAATAGTCTCCTATAATCTATTAATTATGAGCAAGTAGCCAAGAATTATCAGAAATATCAGAAAAGCCTCTAACAAGAAGACAGAGCACAAAACCAACAAAAGCAAAACAGCAATTTGGAGAAAAGAGACTATACAGGGAGAAAAAATGTCAAAAACACTCTCTTTACTTACGTTATAGAGAGGTACGATAATATTGCCTCCACAAAACCAAGAACAAGATGTTTACTCTAAGGAAGGAACAGACCAAAAAATAAAAAGGAACTCTTAAAATTAAAAACGTGATAGCAGAAATGAAAAACTCAGTTGGAAGGGTTAGAAGGTAAAGTTGGTAATATCTGCCAGAAAGGAGAATAAAAAGACAAAAAGATGGAAACTAGAAAAGTTAAGAACATTGGAGAATTAGTCCAAGAGGTCCAACATCCAAATGATAACAGTTCCAGAAAGAAAACAATGGGGAAGAAATCATCAATAAAATACTTCAAGATATTTCCCAGAAACTAAAGGATATGAGTTGACAGATTGGAAGGGTCCACTGAGAATCCAACACGGTGGATGAAAATAGACCCAAATCAAGACACATCACTGTGAAATTTTAGAATACTAAAGAAGAAATAGAAACTACTACAAGCTTCCAGAGAGCAAAAAATGGATCACATGCAAAAGATTCAGAAAATAGAACAACTTTGTACTTCTCAATATCAATACTGAAAGCTAGAAAAGCATGGAACAATGAGTCTAAATTTTTTTTTAAAAAACTGCAACCTAAAATGCCTTAGTCAGCCAAGCAATCAATTAAGTATGAATATAGAATAAAAACATTTTCATACATGCAAGTCTCAAAGAAATTACCTCTCATACCCTTTCTTTAAGAAGCAGACAGAGTAAGTGTGTCACTAAAATAAGAGGGTAAGCCAAGGAAGAGAAAGACATGGGATTTAGGAACATGAAACCCAACAGAAGAGAGGAAGAGAAGTCTAGAAAGATAGTAAAGAGAAATATCATTCCAGATTAGAACAGTATGACTATAAAAATAGACATGTTAAAGGCTATCACCTCCAAGATCCTCATTGTCAATGTTCCATCCTTCTTTTTAACCTGAGGACAGAATGCCCAGGCTAGCCTGGCTCAGACTCTCTGTACTTGGCTAATTTGACTATGTGCTGCCAAAGCTCCTACACACCTTTCCTCCAAGCACTGCAGCAGCCTGAGTCAGGTGTGGACACACATTCAAACCTCCAGAAGCTATCTGCTGTCATCTGCTCTGTAAGGAGGGGGATCATGGGGTGATTAGAAGTAGAGAAGTCAGAGGGGCCCACTCCCCATCCAACCATATTGTTACCAGACAACTAATTTCTGGTCCACACAATGGTCCGCTGGTGACCTGACTGGTGAGCCACATGTGTACTTCCCTGAATTCACTCATGACCTCACCTGCTGACTTCCCCAAAAGCGGCTCTTATAAACACTTAGGGAAGCTGAAGCCAGATTATGACTGAGAGACTGTTCAGCTTATGCACTCTTGAACATCTTCACCAAATAATAACTTCAGTAACCAGCTAGATGTGCACTGGTCACTCACATTTTTAAAACAAAACAATATATTACTTAGATAAACTATAACAAAAAGCAAAGGAATGAGTAACACAAAAGTCAGGGTAGATATTACCTGTGGTGATTAGGGAAGGGAATACAACTGGGAGGGGCATACAGGTGGCTTCTAAGGTACCGGTTATGTTCTATTTCTTAACAAAAGTAGTGTTTTATTATTCTTTATACTGTACATACCAATTTAATGTACTCTGCTGTAGAGATGCATTTCACAATAAAAGAATTTAAATAAAGAAAAGGAGAAAATAGGGAGGAAAGAAAGCAATAAGGAGAAAGGAATCAATCAGCCCTGATATTATAAAGGGCAGCAGTGGTCAGGGGATAAAGAATAGTGGTAGGATTCACTTACCATTTCATACGCTACTTCCTCAGATGTATCTGTTTCTAAATTGAAACTGAACTCAATAGCTTCATTGTCTTTGTGCTTGCCTTTCAATTTTTTAGGGTCTTCAACCCAGAGTCTTAAAGCCAGGGATGAATTTGAGCAGTCATCTTCCTCTGCTAACTCCACTCTCAGTCCTGTATCCTCAGCAAAAAATGCGTGGTTTAGTAGGTCCCTGATAGACAACCTAATAAACAAAATACATATCTCATTATCAATTTTTTCAATCATAAACAAGATATAGAACTCTTAATTAGTAAACATCAATTATATCAAAGTAACAATCTTTATTTTAAATTTCCTATTAATTAGACCATTAATCTGCCTTGTTATAAAAACCAAATCTTATATCCAACTTATTATTTGCCAAGAATGCAAAGAAATCCCAACTAACATGCACTGAAAGTCACCTTAATTAAAGATTACCAGTAGCATATCTAGATACTGAAGTTTAACACACCTATAAGTATGCCTAGAGAACTGGAGAAGTGCTGCAGTGTATGTTAGGTAGAGTGACTAGTTTCCCTAAGCCACTGATTTAAGTTACTAAAACTCAAACAACAGATTGTCAGCAAAGGAAACTAGTATGGTGATTAACATAACAATAAAAAAATTTTTTAAAAAAGGAAACGAAAAACTCTTCTGGATATATAACCTCTAAAGGAAATCAGAAATTCAAACTCTTTACAAACATTATAAATAGAAGTCATTGACTCCATTAACAATAATCTAGTCAGTGTACTTCACTCTTGAGAGAATGCCATGAATGAAACTAATTTAGTTCAGCAAAGTCCCATGGTTTTCCTCAAGTATCTAAGTCTAGTGTTTTAGGCCAAAGTATACATGCAATGGAAACGCCTCTACCTAGTATTAGAAATTAACCATCTCTGAAGAGAAAAAAAAGGACTGGGTTTCAAAAGATTCTTTTACAAGATGGGGGAAGTTAATTTCCTTTGCTTGCTTGGACCAATTTCTAAAAACAGATACATAATATCTAATCTATCTATATTATAGGCCAGAGAGAGCTAAAACTAATGTATTTCATAATGTCTACATAGAAAATCTCTCTTATACTATTTAAAACAGATAAAGTATATTGATAGCATGGTATCCTGTAAGTTGATGATTTTCAACCCTCCTGATCATTTTTTAGTGATCAAGGGACAAAATTAAGAGATTATTATAAAAAGAATAAGCTTCCTCAGACTAATTAGTTTTAAGGCTAAGGTGAGATGTGACAGAACCAAGGGGCGCCTGAGTGGCTCAGTCAGTTAAGTGTCTGCCTTTGGCTCAGGTCATGGTCTCAGGGTCCTGGGATCCAGCCCTGTGTCTGGTGCTCTGCTCAGCGAGGAGCTTGCTTCCTCCTCTCCTTCTACCCTTCCCCCTCCTTTCACACACGCTCTCTCTCTCTCTCAAATAAATAGGTAAAATCTGAAAAAGAAGAAGATACGAGCAAGTTAAGCCCTCTGCCTTTCAATGAAAAGGTTGCCTATGTATTTTTACTATCGAATAATTACAGTAATAGCAGGAGATACCATTAAATACTTACTACTCTGTTAGTTATTTTATATGCATTTTTTTTTTTTTTTTGACAGAGAGAGACACAGCGAGAGAAGGAACACAAGCAGGGGGAGTGGGAGAGGGAGAAGCAGGCTCTCTACTGAGCAGGGAGCCCGACGTGGGGCTCAATCCCAGGACCCCCGGACCATGACCCGAGCCGAAGGCAGATGCCCAACGACTGAGCCACCCAGGTGCCCCTATATGCATTATTTTTTTAATCATCAAAATAAATACCTGCTTTGAGAAACAGCTAAGTAACTTGCTCAAGATCACACTGGCTAAGTGTGAGTCCACATTTGAATCTTAGTCTGATGTAGAAGTCTGTGCTCTTTCTAATACACTAATATGCCATGAATCCTTTGGAATATCCCAATGTTCTTTGGTAACAAATTTACAGTTAAAATGCTGCAAAAGCAATAATCAGAATCCAAACTAAAATGGCTATTTCCACTTAGTACAACTGACCCTTGAACACCATTGGGAGGGGACTGGGGTGCCGACCTCAGTTGAAAATATGTGTCTAACTACTAACTCCCCCAAAATTTAACTACTAATAGCCTACTGTTGACCAGAAACCTTACCAATAACATAAACAGTTGATTAACACATATTTTGTATGTGTTATATACTGTATTATGTTATGTATTATATACTGTATTTTTATAATAAAGTAAGGTAAAGAAAATATTAAGAAAACCATAAGGAAGAGAAAATACATTTACAGTATTGTACAATATGTTATTCAAGGGTCAACTGCATTTTTAGACTCACTTAAAAAAAAGCATGCCTAAACTCTTACAACTCAAAAACAGCCACAACAACAAAAAAATAAACGACCTAATTTTAAAAAGGGCAAGTGACTTGAACAGACATATCTCCAAAGAAGATATACAAATGACCAATAACCACATGAAAAGATACGCAACATCATTAATCATTAGGGAAATGCAAATCAAAACCACAATGAGATACCACTTCATAGCCATCAGGATGGCTATTATCAAAAAATGGAAAATAAGAAGTGTTGGTGAGGATGTTGACAAATTGGAACCTTCATATGTTGCTGGGAGGAATACAAAATGGTGCAGCCACTGTGGAAAAAATTTGGCGGTTCTTCAAGGAATTAAACATAGTATTACCATATGATCCAGTAATTCCATTCCTAGGTATATAATGAAAAGAATTGAAAGCAGGGATTCAAGCAAATACTTATTCACCAATGTTCATGCAGCATTATTCACCATATAGCCAAAAGGAAAAAATAACCCAAGTGTCCATTAACAGACAAATGGATGGATACACAAAATGTGCTGTGTGTGTGTATGTGTTTCTTCCTTAAAAAGGAAGGAAATTCTGATACATGCTACAACATGGAAATCAACCTTGAAAACGCTATGCTAAGTGAAATAAACCAGACACAAAAGGACAAATATTGTATTGATTCCACTTACATGAGGTACTTAGAGGAAGCAAATACATAGAGACAGAAAGTAGAATAAAGGTTACCAGGGGTTGAGGGGAAGAGGGAATGGAGAGGTAATGGGTACAGAGTCTCTGTTGGGGTGATGAAAAGGTTCTGGAAATAGATAGTGGTGATGGTTGTTTAACAATGTGAATGCGCTTAATGCCATTGAATTGTACACTTAACATATGATTAAAATGGTCAATCTTAGGTTATGTATATTTTACCATAATTAAAATATATAACTACCTAGATATAGCCTGTTGGTACAATAATGTTCAGTAATAAAGCTATAATTAAACAGGCTTTACCTTAGTGGCTTTATGTATTCTCAGATATACAACATTAAACCTAAAAAACTAATAAAAATGGGGGACAGTCAATAAAATGTGGGTGAAAATAATTTCTGTAAAGGACCTTTATTAATCATAAAGGAGGTAAAAAATCAAAAGACTAACCTACTGATTTAACTCGACAACTGTCCAAAGCTCAAATTAACAGGAAATATAAGCTAAAACTAAAGGGATGTATCCATAAGAAAAACACAAATTGGGTTACAAATAAACTTAGAATACTACTTCTTGAACATAAACAGCCCTATCTGCTTTACCATTATCATGACACAAGGAAACTGGTCAAATACGAAACATCTGGTGAGTTGATGGTCAATTTTTTTAAGCTATCATTTTTTTCTAAGTACTTACCTGAAGGTGACACTGCAGAAGCTCTCTACTATCAACTGTTAGAAGCAAGTTAACCTGGGGGGCCTCAGTGACTGTTAAACTGAAGGGTGAAGGTGATGAAAACTTGTCACAACACACACGAACAAAATCCAAATTTCAGTTCAAGAAAAATTCAGCACATGATATCAAAGTCCAAAATGGCAAACAACATGCACTGATATACTTCACTCTAGACAGTATGGTTTGTGTTCCATTCAAAAGTAATACCCAGTATTATTCAAAGGTCAGAAAATGACCCAGTCCAAGGTAAGAGTTTAATGTATCCATCGGTTATATCATTTCACTACATTTGTACCCACCTTTCTGATTTGTTTTGGCGAATACATCCTTCAATGATTTCTTTCACTTCAGGATCAGTGACTTTATTGAAACTGGCTGGTTTTATGCCCTGGGAGAAGAAAAATTGTTTCTAGTCACAAATAAAGCAACTGAAAGCTCAAGTCAACATAACATTATTAACGTAATTTTTACCACTAAACCATATTCAAGCTTTAAATGAGATAAATATATACAGTGTAAGTTTAAGAATTTTTTGATGAAGATACTGTCACAGTTCTAATAGTCTACAAATAACAGTGAAAAATTATGAACAATCTAAATTTCAAACAACAGAAATATAAATTATGTGATCTATATATATGCTACTCTTACACAAAAACCAAAAATATTCTCAAAGTATTTAATAACATGGATAATTCTCATATTGCAACATTAAGTAGGGAATAAATATTTGATCCCAAAATATACATGCAAGTATAACCCCAATTAACAAACTATAATAAACAAGTCTTCCAGAATGGCTAGAAGCAATGAACAATCAATATATATGTATGCATGAAAAAAAAAATATTTATAAACTTTTGAGAAATCTGTATTATTTTAACCATTAAGCAATAGTAAAATATTGAGAGAAACTCAAGCTAATTATCAGGTTCTAGGAGTTCAATAATAAATTAGTAAGGTCCAGACAATTAAAAATGTTTCTGTAACTGTTAGCTGCCTAAATCTGCTAATTTTATATTCTATTACCCTTAAATTATGAATTTTAGATTAAAAAAATAATCATTAGGGGCGCCTGGGTGGCACAGTTGGTTGAGCATCCGACTCTTGGTTTCGGCTCAGATCATGATCTTGGGGTCCTGGGATCAAGCCCCGAGTTGGATTCTGTGCTCAGCATGGAGTCTGCTTGAGATTCTCTCCCCCCATCCTTCCCACTCGCACTCTTTCCCTCTCTCTCTAAAATAAGTAAATAAATTTTAAAAAATCATTACAGTCATCTAACAGAAAACTCCAAATTAATCTAAAAGGAGAAAGATACTATAGAATCATTGTCATGGAATGAGGCAATCTAAAACCTAGTTCTGGGTCTGACATACTACTTCACAGGATGCTGAATCAGAAAGCCCAGTATCACACACTAGACAAATTTGGTGAGATTAGGAGTTAATTTGGATCTCAAGTTCTTTTTTTTATTATGTTATGTTAATCACCATACACTACATCATTAGTTTTTGATGTAGTGTTCCATGATTCATTGTTTGCATATAACACCCAGTGCTCCATTCAGTACGTGCCCTCTTTAATACCCATCACCAGGCTAACCCATCCCCCAGCCCCCCTCCCTTCTAGAACCCTCAGTTTGTTTCTCAGAGTCCATAGTCTCTCATGGTTCGTCTCCCCCTCTGATTCCCCCCCCTTCATTTTTCCCTTCCTGCTATCTTCTTTTTTTTTTTAACATATAATTTATTATTTGTTTCAGAGGTACAGGTCTGGATCTCAAGTTCAAGAAGCTTTAATATAGATGGAAATGTGAATTGTGATATTTATTGTGACTTTAATATAAAATAATAAAGTCACCATTCAAAAAATGGAGTTACATCATTCTACTTATAGAAAAAGTCCTCTTTGACCTCTCCATTGATCTCTTACCTATTCCCCAGTCCTGGGTAATTATTGCCTTTCTCTGCTCCTAGGTGAAAATAATTGGGGAACTGCAACTTACGAAATTGAGTACAAAGTTTTTCTATTTGTGGCCATACAATGTACAGACCAAGACTAAAAAGACTTCTAGCTTTATCTCTTTTTCTCAGTTCTTTGTTACAGAAAGCTTCAAACATACTCAAAAGTAGAATAGTAAAAGCCCCATGTAACCATCACCAGCTTCAACACACAACATTTTGTCAACCTTGTCTCAGCTATCTACCTCCACACCTTTTTTATCCAAAAATATTTTAAAGCAAATCCTAAGCATCATGTAATTTCACCCATAAAGTCTCTAGTTTATATCTCTAACAGATGTCATGTCATCATCCCACCTAAAATAATTACTAATAATTCCTTAACATCATCTAAAACCCAGCCCACACTTAAATTTCCTAAATAGTCTAAATGATGTCTTCTTATACTTGGTTTATTCAAATCAGGATCCAAACAAGGTCCTCACAGTACATGTATGGTGCATTAAAGCTGGCTCATACCAGCTTACAAGAGGCAACTATTACATTTTCAAGAATTTTGCAAGCTGGCTGTTAAACACAGTCATTTACAAAAATTAAATTATATAAGCTTACAATTAAATAAATGATATCAACAACCAAGGTAATAAATACTGAAAATAGCAGTCCTTAATTATTTTACTACATTTTACTATTATTTATGCTCTTGAGGTTGTTTATTCTATCTGTATGGTGTAAATATCATACAAATTCCACTGTGTATACCATTTCCAACCCTGCATTCAGTGAGGTCACACTGGTGACTTAAAAAAAAAAAAAACTTAAACTTAAAAGTCATTGTGGGAATATTTAACACCAAGGAAATCAGCAAATGCTAGGAATCAGTGCTTTTTCTTTTTCAGAGAATCAGTTATTAAACATTTACCTGCTCACCACTACTTTAAGTCTCTTATATTCTTTAACAGTCCCTCCTTTTTTGCTTTCATGAAATTGATTTGTTGGAGAAACTAGGTCATTTGTCCTACAGAATGGCCCACATTCTGGATATTAGACTTATTTCTAGTCTCCCTACCCAAATATCTCCAGAGTCAGATTTAGGGTCAAAATCCACCATTGTGGATCCACATGTAGCTGTGTGAACTTGGGCAAGTTACAACCTGTGGTTCTCAGTCTCATCATTCATAAACTGAAGATAGTGCCATCTTGTAGGGATTTAAATATGAAAGCATGCAGTATACAGCATGCATTTAAAAAGGGTACCTATTAATATCAGTTACTTTGAACACTTTGACAATCTCTTTCTTGGCCTATTCTAGAGCCACCCAACTGGATATGAAACAGACCTATTTTGAACTATCCTAAGATTTTGTTTTTATCTCTCTTAATCCCTTACTCTATTCCTATCCTCTTATGTTTATAGCTATTTGTGAATTTATCCATACTAAAAATGCAAGCTCTTTGTGGGTAGCAAACACTTCTTATTCATCTTTATACATTCCTTGCAATTTTTAATGCAAAAAAATACCCATAACAGGGAATCAAATACTGTAGCTGAGGAACAATATTTTGAATGCTCTTTTAGAACCAGAAACCTTCCAAACCATTTAGTCAATCTTCATTATTCAGCTTTGAAAAAATAATATCCACCTAATAAATCTAAAAATTATTTACAAACAAGTGGATATAGATGATATGTCTTTACCCAAAGATAATTATACAGAACATTTTATGTGACCCCAATAAAGTATAGGTATATAGCATAAATCTAAAGCTTGTTTCATTACAATTATGTTAAATTTAGCACTGTTATATAGCACTAAACCAAAATTAGTTTTAAGCTGACTTTACCATCTTCAACATGAAATGTGACAATCTAGGAAGTAAAAAGAATAAAGTTATACCTACGCTAGTTACTTTACGGTATATTTGAGCTGCATTCTGGCACTCAGAGTAAGGGTACTCTGAAGTAGCCATTTCCAGCATACACATTCCAAAAGCATAGACATCTACAGATTCATCATAGTGCTCTTCATACATCTCTGGGGCCATAAACTCAGGAGTCCCTACAAAATAACACCACATCCACATCTTTATTAAAAAGAAAAATGTATCCACCAATATCACATTCCCTTCACCATAAGGATTACCTGAGTTAATTTCTGCTCCCTAAACCAAATTTATATATATAAAATTTGCAGAATACTTGCTACACCTATATAAAGTACTTAAGGAATTTCCTTAACTTTCTATACTGATAAAGTACAATTTGTAATGCTCAAGATCAGGTAACAATTACTAAAATCTGTTTTTATTTCTATCTTCTTTATAAATTTTTCTGAACTAAATTAGTAAATCCTCTTTCTTAAGTCTTCAGAACTTTTTAATGATCTTTAATATATCCCCCAAAAGAAATACACTAGGATGTCTCTGAAATAAGTCAATATGTAATAGATATTTCAAAGCAAATTCACATTCTAGTCCAGGAGTCAGCAAACTTCTCTGTAAAGAAGCAGACAGTAAGTATTTCAGACACAACTATTCAACTCCACTACTGTAGTGCAAAAGCAGCCACAGACAATACATAAATGAGTGGGTATAGCTGTGTTCCCATAAAACTTTATTTACAAAAATAGACAATGGGGCCAGATTTGGCTCATGGGCCATAATTTGCTGATCCCTATTCTAGACATACACAGTTAACAAAATCTCTCTTTATCCAACCAATAACTATAAAAGTTTAATCACCAATGACACTCTTAGCAAATGATGTTCGCATTAAGGTGGCTAGGCCTAGATCACCAATCTTCACAGATCCAGTGGGTCCCGTGATGAAAATATTATCACACTTCAGATCCCGGTGAATAATGGGAGGAGTCCTAGTATGCAAGAACTGCAACCCCTTTAAAATTTGCCTGCACCAGCTCCTTAAGACCTTTGGTTTCATGACTTTAAATCGTTTTAAGTACCTACACAAAGAAACAAAAGACCACATGTAAACAAACATACCTAGCTTATTATATGAACACTATTAAGGGTAAATCATGTAAGCTGGCTGGTATTGTAAGTACTATGCTTGCCATCACTGTGTTGTTATCTATTCTCTGTTATAGAAAAGCAATTTTAAATCTAAGGCTTCATTCTTAGAGAAGACATCCTGCCAAGCTTAGCATTTTTCAGCATTTTTAATTCAAAACAAGAATCATTCTAATCAGAGTAACCTTTTGTGGAAAGGTAGCACAATTTTAAAAAGAAAGTCCTTCTACACTTTCTAATAACTGCTTATATAAGGTCACCAGAGGGTTTAACTATGTAAAATTTTAGTGTAAAGATGCTAGGAAACAGAAAAAGTATATTCCACATTTAATAGTTACAAATAAGTGATTACACCATCAAATGAAAAACTGTAGTCAGAAATAAAACAATAAACTATAATTGTATAGTACTGCTCAGTAGATCTACGAATGTGGCCACACCCTTATCTTCCATTATTTTTACAAAATGACATTACTTCTAATTCTAAAATTTTATGCTATCCCACAAATATTCATTTCTCAATACTGTATTTTCTAACAAACTTCATTAACATCCTAAATTTTTTAACCTGCCCTGAAGCACAGTCACTAGATTCAGATGCTACCAATTCTTTAATCAAGTAGTGTTATTTTATAAACAACTTTTATTACTCTTGAAAATTATTTCCAAACAAAATTTCATTGGCACTATCAGAGTCAACTTACGTCTTTAAAGTTCCTGATGTCATAAGTTCAGTCACCAATACAATACATTTCTTTCCTTTTAATATAGACTCCCAGGAATCATAAAATCGAACTATATTGGGATGTTGGAGACCCTTTAACATTTCTGCTTCTTCCTTGAACCTTTGCTGCTCAGCTTTGGTTAATTTCCGATCCTGAAATGGAATAAGAAGTTCCAAATTAGAGTCTAGAAATTCTCATGCACATTTGTAACATCACTCAAATGTGTGCTTTATTTTGTTGTTTTCATTTATGTATGTATTTATTTTCACCTGTCAATTTTTTTCTCAGGACCTATATAATCACTGATATATTTTATTAGGTGGATACTTTTGACTCCTCCCATTCAACAGTGCAGCATCTCTCATAGTTCATAACTATGTTATAAGCCCACCTGCAAAATAAATCAATACCTTAAAATCAATACCTCATATGATAACTAAACTTTCTGTGGTAATCATTTCATAATATATACATATATCAAATCATTATGTTGTACACCTTAAACTTATACATTGTTGTATGTCAAATATATCTCAATAAAACTGGAAAAATAAATAAAATTTCCTTTGCTGGAAAAGAAAAACAATGTATCAAAATGAAAAAAGTAATAATCAAACAAATAGGAAGTTTCCCTAAATCCCTGAATTCCCACATCTATAGGATCTATAACATCAGGGCAGGAATAATCAAAATGTTAGACATGCAGACATTTATTCTGGTTAAATATCTGAATTGCAAACATATTTCCAGACAGAAATACAAGACTACCATCCAGTAAAATACCTTTAAACAGGAATTAGACCTCTAATCTGCTACATTAAATACTAGAAGTCAAAAGAGCAATGTTTACAGAATTCTGAGGGAGGACTGTAACCCTAAAACTCTGAACCCAGACAAGCTACCAATCAAATTTATAAGGGAAAATTAAACACATTTTCATGAAAACAAGGACCCAAAGTATACCATACCACACACCCTTTCTGAAAATATTACTCAAAGAATTTCAATACAAATGTGGCCAAATAACATCATTAGAAAAGGAGAGTGTGGCATACAATAAACAGCATGAAATTTCCAATAATGCTTACTTAGAGTCAAGGCTAAGTAATCATGGTTAATGTGGTTATTAAAATTGAATGAATTTTCTAAACAATAATTAAAATAGAAGATATATAATGGAAAAAGAAAAGTTTACAATTAAAACTCCAGATGATCACTGGGTGTTATATGTAAGTGATGAATCACTAAATTCTATACCTGAAACTAATATTACACTGTATGTTACATAACTAGAATTTAAATAAAAATTTGAAACTACAAAAAATTAAATTAATTTTTTTTAAAAAACTAAGAGAAAAAGAAGAATAAAAGCAATTTTGTCTTCTGCAAGCAGGAGCAGGAAAGGAAGGAATGACAGAACTATTTTAAGTTTTGATTCTGACAGAGAAATAATCAAGTATTCTAGTTAAAAATTTAGGTATGATTTTCATTTCAAGATGACTGACAATATAGTAAATTAATTCCCTTCTCTTCCTAAATCCCACCAAAATGACAAAATAAATATATAAACAAATCCATAGTAGTACTGGAAATATGAGAAGGGTTCAAACAAAAGATTTTTTAAAGATAAAAAAATATATGCATTGATAGAATATACTTTTATGAAACTCAAGAGAGTAGAAGAAATGGTAACTTGATAGACACAAGACTTCCATTAAAGGGTTTTTTTTTTTTAGCAAAAATAAACTATTGGGACTTCATCAAAATAAAAATCTCCACAGCAAAGGAAACAATCAACAAAACTAAAAGGCAAACTACAGAATGGGAGAAGATATTTGCAAATGACATATCTGATAAAGGGTTAGTATCCAAACTGTATAAAGAACTTATCAAACTCAACACCCAAAAAACAAATAATCCAGTTAAAAACTGGGCAGAAAACATGACTAGACATTTTTCCAAAGACATAGAAATGGCCAAGAGACACGAAAAGATGTTCAAAATCACAGATCATAAGGGAAATAACAAGTCCAAATTACAATGAGATATCACACCTGTCAGAATGGCTAAAATCAACAACACAGGAAACAACAGATGTTGGTGGGGATGTGGAGAAAGGGGAACCCTCTTGCACTGTTGGTGCAAATGCAAACTGGTGCAGCAACTCTGGAAAACAGTATGGAGATTCCTCAGAAAGTTAAAACTAGGACTACCCTATGATCCAGCAATTACACTACTAGGTATTTACCCAAAGCACCCAAAAATACTAATTCAAAGGGATACATGCACCCTGATGTTTTAGCACAGTATCTACAGTAGCCAAATTATGGAAACAGCCCAAGTGTCCATCAATTGATGAATGGATAAAGAAGATGTGGTGTGTATATATATATACACATACATACACATTGTATATATACACATACACAACAGAATATTATTCAGCCTTAAAAAAGAATGAAATCTTGCCATTTGCAACAATATGGATGGAGCTAGAGAGTATTATGCTAAGAAATAAGTCAGTCAAAGAAAGACAAATACCATATGATTTTACTCATATGTGGAATTTAAGAAAGAAAACAAATGAGCAAAGGGAAAAAAGAGAGAGAGGCAAACCAAGAAACAGACTCTTAACTATAGAGAACAAACTGATGGTTTACCAGAGGGGAGGTGGGTGAGGGGATGGGTTAAATAGGTGATGGGGGTTAAGGAGTGCACTCATTGTGATGAGCACCTGGTGTTATATGGAAGTGTTGAATCACTATACTGTACACCTGCAACTAATATTTAAAAAAAAATTTTTGACGATTTTATTTATTTATTTGACAGAGAGAAGACAGCGAGAGAGGGAACACAAGCAGGGGGAGTGGGAGAGGGAGAAGCAGGCTTCCCGCCAAGCAGGGAGCCCGATGCAGGACTCGAGCCCAGGATGCTGGGATCATGACCTGAGCCGAAGGCAGACGCCCAACCGACTGAGCCACCCAGGCGTCCCTGAAACTAATATTATACTGTACACTAACTAACTGGAATACAAAGAAAAACTTGAAGGGGCTCCTGGCTGGCTCAGTCAGAAGAGCATGTGACTCTTGATCTTGGGGTCATGAGTTTGACCCCCATGTTGGGTGTAGAGATTACTTAAATAAACACGTATTTTTTAAAAGAGGAAAAAAAGGGAAAACTTTTTAAAAAGAGGGTTTCTTTTTTTTTTTTAAGACTTCATGATAACCCTAATAAAGTAGCACATCAGAGGTGTTGCAATTTCTTTTTTGGTTACTTTATACACATTATTCCTTGATGTGTATAAGGAAATATGTAAAGGGATATTCAGTGCAGCATGGTTTGTAACTGTGAAAATTAGAAACAACCAAAATGTCAATAATAAAGTTTATTATATGCCAGGTACTGATCTAATTTTTTTAATATATTAACACATTTGGTCCCATAACAATCCTTTAAGATAGGCATTACTACTGTTATCTCCATTTTGCAAATAAAGAAGCTGAGGTTAAGATAGTTAGGTAACCTGCCCAGGATCAAATGGGCTAAACATGGGTTATAGCCAAACAGCCAAATAACAATTAAAAGAATGAGGTAGATCTATGTGTATAGATCTAATGTGGATAGATCTCTAAGACATACTGCTGAGTTAAAAAAAAAAAAAAGGCATTCTGAAAAAATTACAATATGATAATTTGTACATAAAAAAAGAACCATCCTGAACAGTGCTACATTTCTAGTACATATTTAAATGCATAGATAAAGGATAAGATAGATACACAAATGAGTAGCTACAATTGTATCTGGAAGGGAGAAGACTGGCATGCAGGTCTTTTCTTCAGATGATGACCATATGGTACACTTCATAGTCACTCAGCAATATCTTACTTTACTCAATATCTTTTATGTGAATATCTAAAGTTTAGTCTCCTAAGACTTTTTATATTTAACTTTCTAATCCATCTGGAGTTTCCTGTACATGCAGTCTTTTCATCTAGATGGTTAAGCGGTTGTACTAGCACCACTTAAACTACTCTTTTCTCACTGACTTGAGGAACATGTTTGCTGTATATTGTTTCTAGTTATACTGGGTTCTGCTTCCTTTCACTAATCTGTCCATGCCTATGATAGTGGCTTTCAGTATGTGTAATTACTGATAAGGCAAATCACTTCCCTATTCATTATTTTCTTGGCTTTCTCATCTTTTTATGTTCAAGATAAACATTAAGATCATTTTTCCAATTAAAATAAAAGAATCACTTGGAATCTAATTGGAATTATATTAAATATATAGACATTAATTTGGAGAAAACTGGCATCTAAAAAGCCATCTAAGAACATAGTATATATCTTTCCATTTGTCCAGAGTTCCAGTAAGGTTCTCTGGGGGAATGGGGGAGTGAGGAGAAAGAGCTGATACTCTCCTAGTTTATTTTTTCCTGAACCACATATTTAATTTTATTTAAAAATTTTCACTTAGTAAAACTGATTCTTTCTGGTGTACAGTTCCATGAGTTTTGACAAATGCATAAAGTTGTATAACCAGTGCCACAACTTAAATACAGAATGATTCCATCAATTCCACCCGCCCTCCCCCCCATACACACAAATTCCCCTGCACCATCCATTTCTAGTCAAACCCTCTTCTTACCCTTAAACTCTGGAAACCACTCATCTATTTATTATTCTTATAATTTTGCCTTTTCTGGAAAGTCCTATAAATGGGAAGAAATTATACATAGCCTTTTGAGTCTGGCATCTTGTACTTAGCATAATATCTTTTAGATTGATCTATATTGTACCAATAGTCTGTTGCTTTAAATTGTTGAACAGTATTCCACCTATGAATGTATCACCATATGTTTATCCATTCCCAGATGAAAAACATTTGGGTATTTTCCAGTTTGGGGCAATTACAAATAAAACTATAAACATTCATGTACAACTGCTTGTGTGAACATAGGTTTTCTTGGATAAATGTCTCAAATGGGACTGAAGGGTCATATGGTATGTTTAACTATGTAAGAAACTGACAAAGTGCCAAAATGGTTCTACCATTTTGTATTCTCACCAACAATGTATTAGAGTTTCTCCACATTATCCTCACTAAAAGTTGGTCCTGTCAGGATTTTCTTTAATTTGGTTGGTTTTTAGC